TGACCTGACCTTCGCTACGCAACCCAAGGTCAAACTGATGTGATCAGTAAATACATCTTTTTAAACGCCACAACTTTTGTCTGAAACATTTTTTTGTAAAACTTATATTTTTCCTGATATTCGGGCGTCCCGGTACTTTCCGAACACCCTGTATATAGTATACGCAATAAGAATTATTAATATTATTATTCGTATATATAATATTATTATTCGTATACATAAACCTTTTGATCTTTTAAAACTATATACAGAATATGGTACAATATAAAAAAATTGATTGTAAAAAATAGAATCGAGTTGAACAAATTTAATTCTTGGTGACCAGCTTGACAGCTTATTTGATTACCGTTTTCGGGATAGTGAAATCAACGTTTAACGTGAATAATTAATTTTACTAAAATGATTAGCTCGTTTGATGAAAATAAGAGATTACAAGAATATTAAAATTGTACTGAAAAAATTAAGACAATTAGTTCGCTATATACAAATCAGAAATTAAGTTTACTAAACAAACCAAAAATTAAATTTGTTCAACTCGATTTTAATTGTTACAATCAATTTTTTTATAGTGTACGATATTCTGTATACAGTTTTAATAAATCAAAAGGTTTATGTATACGAATAATAATATCATGTATACGAATAATAATATTAATTAATAATCCTTATTGTGTGTATGTATGTATACGTGTATATGTGCGTGTGCATGCGTGCGTGCATACGTGTGTATATGTGAGTACATAAACGAAGGTACAAAAAGATTAGAAATATCTATGATTTTATAATGTACGTTTGTGTCAATAAATTACTTTAGCAAACATATACGAGCACAATAAATATTTTCTTAAATAATGAAGTGTTCACATTAAGATAATAGTAATGTAAAGTCATACCGAGCTGTCTAAACCAAGTGTGAGTAACATCATGAAAAAAATAAGCGCCCAAAACATTGAACCAGGCATAGTAGCGATTGCTGCTGGATAAACAATGAAGACTAAACCAGGTCCCTCTGTAGCAACATCTTGAATGGATTTTCCGCTGGCATGTGCCATGTAACCGAGTACGGAAAATATAACAAATCCAGCGATAAAAGATGTCGCACTATTAATCAAGCTAGTCAAGAGGGCATCTCTGTGAAGAACATTAATATTAAATGTATATGCATTGTCATCATGCATATTATATAAGATATTGCGTCCTTACTTGTAAACATTATTATGATACTTATTGTAACTTGCGTAAGCCAGCAACACTCCGAAGCCTGGTCCCAAAGAAAAAAATACCTGTGTTGCAGCGTCCACCCATACCTAGAAAGAAAAGAATATATATCAACAAACATAGAGGAAACATTTTGTATGCGCGTGTATATATATATGTGTGTGTGTGCGTGTGTGTGTGTGTGTGTGTGTGTGTGTGTGTGTGTGTTAATATGAGGAAAATTAATTTACTAAAAGAAAACACTACATAATTCCATTACAAAAATGAAAGTTAACTTTAAAAAAAATACTTTAATATATATAGTATTATTACATTATGTCCCCTTCCCTCCCACAAAATCTTATAACTTGAGTATGACATTCCATTTTTTAAAAATCACATATTTCCAATAAATTTAAATATTAAAAATAAAAGTAAATATATATATATATATATATATATATATATATATATATATATATACGCATATTATTGCGTATAATTTCCATAGAAGAAGGAAGGTATATTAGGTGGCGGCGGGACACCGTGCGTTCAAGATCTGCATATCTTTTTGTTTCAGAAAAAGAAAAATATCGAGAGCGCGGTTTTGGCCGGGACTCGAACTCGTCTTTTGTATGTCGGGCAATTGCTCTAAACCACTGAGCTCTACCTGATGCTCCACGCTCACAACACTCTCCTCTCTCTAGATGATGCTCAGAGACGCTGTTCGGAAGCGACATCTCTGGCGCGATTCCGAGCGCACGGCGACTACAGAGAGAAACAATGTTATTGTACCATATAACACAGCTGTCAGTCTCTCGAAATCAAAGGTTGCTATCCTTTAAGACTTGCTATCCATGTATGCCCGACTCCACCGTTGCCCCTCCTCATCCGGTCCAAATAATACGCAATAATGATATGCATATATATATATATATATATATATATATATATATATATATATATATATATATATAT